TTTTATGAAAGATGCACATATGACACAATCTCCAGTGCTACGACATTGTGCTTATTGCAGCTTTTTTACAGATATGGCGATATCGTGCCATCGCATTGGACATCGAGAGTTATTGTTTGCTTTTTGGGCTTTCTCGCCTATTGTACATTTGTTGCCGCCTCGACGCAAATATCAGTAGGTTCGTATCTCAGTTGTGAAATTCGATTGCCAAAGGTAATCATCAGCTTCAGGATTGACCTTGATGATGGAAGAAGATAGTAAGAAGGAGTGTCAGAACAAATTACGAAACACCGCTGCATCTGTCATACAGACTTGGTAGGAGATCACTGCGGAAAGTCATAAGATATTGTGAAAATCTTTAGGTTTCGTTTTCATATTGCAAGCGCGGAGAATAAGAGGATGACAGAATACTTTCGGTAATGTGATCTGTTAACTTTTTTTGAAGTTAATGGTTTATTCGTTTGCTTAAAGGCGTATCTGTTTCAAACTGTACATAACTGCTAGACGAATGAATCGTAATCGTCAACTGTTGGCTAAATTACGCGAAAAAGTTGAAAGGTTGGTTATGTTCTTTTTTTCTTTGAAAGCTCACTGTGTTTTTATTTGAGGAAGAAGAGATTGCAACATAGCGCTGTGTCACTCGAACAGTCATGGAAACAACAGCTAAGCGTCGGCGTAGCTCAACATGTCATGCAAGCCATAAATTTTGATGTTAGTAAGCGTGAAGTTAGCAAGTAAAGATCAGCAAATAAAGATGCCTAGATCATAGTAAAGTTAATGGATTGTTGCTTTGCAGGCTCCGTGCAATCGAAGAATTAGACAACTCAAACGACATACGGTATATTCAGTAGAGGCTTAACTGATGGTGCATGATATGAATGATAAGAAGACGATTTAGAGCCTTCCAGAGACGGAAGTACGCAGAGAGATGGAAGATGCAGACTTTGGGTTTTCTGTGAGTAAACCAAATGGATCGCAGGAAGGTGAGACTATTGGAGAGATTTCCAGGCAGCACGAAGGTTCGAACGTCGTGGGTCAGCGGACACGACGACTTCATCTACTTTCGAAATCTCTGATATCGAAGCGCGAATAGAAACTAATGATATGTACGAAGAGGAACGATCTGATTCTTTGGATATTTCTGGTGAGTGAAAATGCGAAGAATTAGTACGCATTTCCGAGAAGAAAGCTGTGTTAAGAATACTATCTCGTCGTTGACTCCTTCTATTCGCAGATGTGGAGGAGTGGAGGCTATACAAGTACAAACCGCTTTTACGCTTCTTCAATTACCTTCTGTTTCGAGAATTCACAAAAAAATTTCGTCGGCTACGCAAAGCAGACCGCCTTCTAGAAGTTGAAGCTGAAATCCGCGAACAAGAAAATCTTAGACAGCAGAATCTTAGAGAGGTGGGATTCCAACCAGTTCACTTGAGTCTTTAAAAATTGTTTTTAGCTTGAGCTCAGAGTAAATGCCATGCTGGGAAAACCAGGTACTTCTCCCTTCAATCGCAATCCAAGCGAAAAGATCTGCGTTGGCACAAGGATTGATCTATGTGAGACGAAACTGGCTGAGATGGAGCTTACTCTTGAGAAAATACATCTTCTTGTGCGAGAACTTGCCGTAGCATTGGGGTAAAGAGGCTTTCTCGATGTTTTTTAAGCCCAAAGATTTTGTTCAGAGGCGAAGAAGCGCAGAAGACGCTTCCCCCAGTTCCCCCTGGCCGAAAAACAAAACATCATCGTCATCACTTATTTCGAAAGCAGCACGTGAGGGGCGAGGAAAGCGATGTGGATGAATAGAAGGTCGAATAAATATTGATAATGGTACAATGAAGAAATAACTTACATCTTGATTTCGAACATTAGCAAAGACCGATTTGAAACCTTAAGAAGGAATATCTCTTCAATGGAAAACTAGAGACAATAACTGGTGTCGCCAATCCCCATTTTGCATACCTGAGTCGCCATTTGAGGATGGTGTGAACCAGAGCGAGGTCAACTCGGCCTTGAATTCCTCGGGATCCTTAGATGCTAGGTCTGAATTTTATGAAATTAATATGTCGAGAAATACATGGTAAAGAATTCTGTATTTTACTGTGTTCGGCCAAGAAAGTCTGGGCAGATCTCATGACATCTGTGTCCGCAACAGAAGAAACGAATAAATGTATGGCATGTTCCCATTCTGCTGTGTAAATTTCTTCTTCAGGATTGTTGTAAAAATTCTAATGTAAAATCTACTTCGATGTGAGCAACCGTTTTATCCTGGATATTGAACTTACTAGCAAATTATCCAATGTTCTGTACGTTGCGCTGTTGGGGTCAGGGTTATTGAAG